TCTCTCTTTATTTTTTTTTCTTTTCTTTCCTTTTTCCCCCTTTTTGATTTGCAGACCATGACGAACGAACGCGGTATGTTACTCTTTCCTTTGTACCCTGGAAGACTGCGGTACAAATGTATTTAGATGAAGAAGAAAATAGAAATAAAAAATTGAATGGTGAAATCGAACAAAAGATTCTTCACCTGTGTGGCTGAGTGAAATGCGCTTGCAAATGCAATTTCTTTGTTTTCTTTCTTTTATTATCATTATTATCTATCGGATATCCGGAAAATCCACAACTGGGAACGGTATCTTTGGAATATACAATATTACGCTATTGGTAGTTAATTTGAAATCACTAATCGTAGTTACGGCAGTACGTAGCTACCACCATTTCATTAATATTCATCTTATTACTATACTTTATACAGTAAACTAATCGTGTGAAAGTTGTCAAATGAAATGGTTATTTGTAGTGCCAAACAATTTTGCATACTATTTCGTGTGTATTAAAATATTTCAAAATATAGGATGGACAAAAATGGACCAAACGTTTCTCTTCATATGTAAGTTTTAGAAACCGTGTTTTTATTAGAAAGGAGATTCTTTAAACCTGTGTATATTGTACTGAAAACTGAGGGTGCGATTTAGAAGAAATCGTTGATTACATCGAAGAAGAAATGTCCACGATAAACATTATTAAGGAAATTAGTTCTTTGATTGATCATCCGGATCCGCCGAAACGAATTTTGAAATATTGGTTGATTATGCGATCGTTTGAAAGCTTGTGACAATACTGTGTAGATGCGAATAGTAGGAGAAAACTTATTTAAAGAATTATACAATGAAATGTAATGTACCGCTTCTACTCTTTTAGGCGTAAGTAAGGTGTTTGGTCCTTTCTTGTTCATTCTGTATTTACATATTAAGAATCTGTACTATCTCGAGCGTATCTATAAAACATCAGCCTTTTCAATCTCCGTACAAAACTGCAAGAATATTTCTCTTATGAATTGTCAGGTAGTATTGCATTTAGGTGTTTAATAAATATATCATTTACCCTACAACTTATATTTGCAGACACGTAGAACGAAATGAAAAATATGACCGACACTTCAAGCACCATCATTGATAATGTTTAAATCTTTCGGCTAATCGTTTCACGAAAGAAAGAACGGGCTTGAATCGTTGCGATTCAGTCCCGTTTGGCCTCTGTCTATTAAGCGGGAGTTAAAATCGTAGACTTGAAGAGTGATCTCGATCGCGGTTTCATTTTTCTCGAAAACAAAGACCTTCCCATTGCGTCACAGACTCTCCGGCTACACAGTAGACATAGTCTATTTTATACGCGTAATGACTTATCTTTTATGCGTACTTATTATAGTTCTCCTAGGCTATTGAAAAAATGAGGAGTTTATATGCTTTGTACTATGTCGAGGAATTTGTATATCTTTCCATATTTTCCTTTCCGTCGTTCACTTGCCTGTAGTGCTGATGCCTCTGTTTGAAAAACCGGTAATCACACTTACGCACACGCGCACGCGCACGCGCACAGTCTGGCATACGCAAAGAAAAGATTCAACACACATACAGTACATCACACACCGTCTGAACAAACCGAGAAACTAAACCGCGCGGCAGCTGGATCCTCTGATCAAATACACATGTAAGAACACGTAAGAACATGTAAGAACACCGCCTGTTGGTTCATGCAAAACTGTTCTTATTCCTCGTTTGAACCCTTCGCGGCCTCGGGCTACTCTCTTTACAATTCACCTATCAGCGAATGAGAGTCATCGTTCCTCGATATTTATTACATGAGACAATTTGTAAATATCCCGTTGAATATGGGATATTGGATATAGGATCATATCCATTACAATATAATTAAATAACGATGATACGGAAAATACTTCTATCGAAGAGCCAGTATCGAAACGTGCAGTGTTTAGATCGATTGATCTGATAAACGAATGTTTAAAACTTTTATTTAGTTCTTTGTTTGTCTACTAAACGCAAACGCATATACGTAACTGTGATTGGAACTATGTATGTATAATCGTTTTCAGTCTTGTCACATTTGAAATCTTCTTCGCTCGCGCGCTTCTTTTATTCATCCATTCATTTCTTTCTTCTTACCGTATAATAGACAATTTACAAGACATAACAAAAACGCGCTATCAAAATTATAGAAACCTCGAAGAAAAACTCGCCGACAGTATTCTCACTTTTCTAGATTATTAGTCTTGAAAAATCTAAATTTGCAATTTATTTTAATAATTCATTACACACGCAATAAGGGTTTACACGTACAGATAAACGCTTTCCACGTGTGCAATGGTTAATTCAAGTTTTTCGGTTTTCTAACTTTTGAATCATTCGCGTAAGAAAGCGCAAAGCCGTGAAGGGTTGCATGTGCAATACTCGCGACTTACGTCTAAAGCATGGATGGACGATTCGTTTGTAGCGGAGCAGAAATGTTCTTCGTTGTTCCGAAAACAAGCCGGGAGCAATGGTAAGAACTAGTGTTACATGGAAATGGAGAAATAATCTGTGCGTAACGACGACAACAGCTGTGTCAAGTATACATCGAGAATTATGGATATTCTGAGAATGACGGTCTTTCAAAAAAGTATCGTTTATTCTTGTATAAAATAGATGATGATAATAAAAAAAAGCAGACTCCATATACGTGAGATTGGTAATTGCAGCATGCTCGAATATTCTTACAATAATCGTTCTGTATATCAATTGATTTATTCATAATATTACCTACAAATGGAA